TTGAACTGATGACCTCTAGTACGCACATCAGAATTCAAAGTAAACATGCTGTTCGTCGGAGGAACATTTAATATGAGTGCAATAAATGTTGCAATGGCGTCTCCTCTTGTTCTTCTTTGACCCAATGCAGGGCATATGACGAGTCTCTTCTTGTGATTTATCATTCCATTCATGTTTTTTGGATTTGCATATACAGGTGACCCCAAAAATTAATGAATACATAAATTTATTTTATTGAATTAATCAGGAACTACAGAACCCAATGCTTTGAAATCTTGCAAATGTTTTAAGGTTTTTAAGAGCATAATAAATTTTTAGTCAAAGTATATTTGCTTATCCCCTCCAAAAAATTGATGACGTCAGCTCAAAAGTTTGCCGTATAATCCTATTTAAAATTTACAAAATATGATGAGTCTCTTCTTGTAATTTATCATTCCATTCATATTTTTTGGAATTGGGTATACAGGGTGACTCAAAAAATTTAATGAATGCGCAAATTTATTTTATTGATTTAATCAGGAACTACAAAACCGAATGCTTTGAAATCTAATGTGAAAAAAAACATAATAGGCATGCAGTCGTCACGTTTCCGATAGCGAGGGAAGTACTGTCTAAACTCTTTAGACCAATTTTTTTGATTTTCCCATTTTTCCATTTCTCAATTTTTCAATGTTTCAGTTTGGGATTTTTTCACTGTTTCGATTCTTTAATTTTCCTTCCGTTTTTAGGTTTTTCAATATTTCAGCTTTGGAATTTTGCAATATTTCGTTTCTTCAATTTTTCAAATTTTTGATATTGTGTTTTCTCGGTTTTTAAATTTTTCGATATTTTAATTTTTCAGTTTTTAAAGTTTTAGGTTTTTAGATTTCTCACTATCTCAACTTTTCGATTTTTCAGTTCCATGATTTTTCAATTTGTCGAATTTTTAAATTTTAGATTTTTTGTTCTCGATCATTCAATTTCTGAGTTTTCAGGCTTAGATTTTTTTTGTTGTTCAATTCTTGGATTTTTAAAATTTTTGTTTTTTAAATTTTCATATTTATCAACTTACTGGGATTTCAATGTTTTGATTTTTTGATTGTTCAATTTCTCAATTTTTTGAATTTTTAGTTTTTGATACGATTTTTTTTTTCAAAAATTTTCAGTTTTTTCAATTTATTAACTTTACGATATTTCAATTTTACGATTTTTAAATTTTTTTATTTTTCAGTTTTCAATTTTTGACGTTTCTAAATTTTTTGATTTTTCAATTTTTCGATTAACTGATTTTTTGATTTTCCCATTTCTCTATTTCTTGATTTTTCAATTCTTTCTTCAATTGTGATTTTTCAATTTTTCGATTTCTGGATTTTTCAATGTTTCAGTTTTGGATTTTTTCACTTTTCCGATTCTTCAATTTTTTTCCATTTTTCAGTTTTTCAAGATTTCAGTTTTGAATTTTTTCACTTTTTCGATTTTTCAATTTTCCTTCCATTTTTCAGTTTTTCAGTATTTCAGTTCTGAGATTTTGCAATGTTTCGGTTCTTCAATTTTTCTATTTTTTGATGTTTCGATTTCTCGGTTTTTCAATTTTTCGATAGGTATTTTAATTTTTCAATCTTTAAGTTCTAGATTTTCCGTTAATTTTTTTGTTTTCCTTTATGTTTTGATTTGTCGATTATTCGATTTTTCAAGTTCTCGGTTTAGATTTTTTGGTTTTCCAATTCTTCGATTTTTAAATTGTTTAATTTTTAGATTGTTCAATTTCTCGATTTATAGATTTTTCAATTTTTCGGTTTACCGATTTTTTCATTTAAAATGTTTCAGTTTTTCAGTTATTAAGTTTTCGATTTTTCAATTTTGGTGTAATTTGAAAACTGTATTAATAATACATTTAGGCGAATAAACTAATAGACGGGCTTGATAAGCCTTGTTTGCTCTACAGTGTCTAAATTGTGTTTGAATCATATAATAATTATATCGAATATTAAAATTAATATGTCAAAAGAATACGAGAAATGATTATTCTGTGCTGAAGGTATGTTGTGGGCCGCCTGTCATAAATTATCATTATTCTTCATTATTATTATCGGCTTACGATACTTTAATGACCCACGTCCGGTAGTCGTCTATCCCAACGCGTCAGGTAAATTTAAAGAAGAATTGCTGGTTGCGTTTAAGGCAACAAATGGCGCCCAATTCAAACTTGTCTCTCGTCTAGCGTTCCCCTTAAAGAATTTGAAGCCGTTGTTTGTCTATGTGACATCTTTTATCACGATAATGTCTCAGAATCATGTAAAAAAAAACCACAGGACGCACTAAACCATACATTAGGTTGCCAAAATTGTTTATTATTAAGACTACACCATTAAAATCAAATCACTTGTTAAAAAGGTTACATAATATTTGAAGTCCATTCTTGATTGATTTAACTCTGCACACTCTCCATGTACAAGAGTGTTGAATTTCAAAATAGATTGAATTACTTAGTTTTTTTTTTAATAAGAATGCAGCGCTTGTCTGGTTTTAACGTATATTTGTAATTTATGGAAAAGGTTCTACTAGTTTTTTCGGTTTTCTTACATTCTTTTCCTAATTATAATTGGAGGCGTACATTTTAACAGTTATTTTTTCCGTGTCCCTATTCTGTAAATCACGAGCCACCCTAATACGAAGTAATTTTACAACATTGCTTCCGTGGTACATTCTTATCATGCATTTTTACGATCTAAATTTCATTAGTCAATAATTACGTACAATACCAAATTTTTCTAATCTAGCATAGCGCTTTTTTAAACATGATTATATTAACGCATGCACAATTTTGAAAATTTATGACTAGAAATAACCCATTTGGTGTTAGTTTTTCATTTTCTTGGTAAACATTTTTTTATAAAAAATGGAAGAATAAATACAAAGATAAATCTGAAGAAAAACAAAACTATTTTTTTGCATTTATGACCTTTTTTGATAAATTATTCAAGGTGTCCTCTTTAGCTGACTCACACTGTTCACAGCACATTCGTGAAGCCTGCTTCCCGCATTCACAAATACGAGACGCAGACTTTTCCAAACTATGCAGTTGTGTAAATTACTATTATAAAAGCATATAGTACTTTTTTCTCCGGAAAGGAAAATATGGAAAATTACAGATGTCTTTAAAATTAAAAAAAGGATCTGCATGGAATTTGCCACTTGTAATTTTCTGTCACTGTGGTAGATTTTTAAGAAGGGATATTTTATTGAAAATTACTAAATAAATGGTAATTTATATTAGGTAATTACTTGTACTGCTGGGGAAACACATATGTAATGTCTGTTTGTAGTAGATTTGGAAGTAAAATTTTACGTTTCAAAGTTACTTACTTACTTACTTACTTTATTGACGGAAAAACATCCTTAAACAATACAAAGAAAAAATAATAAAATCACATGAGAATGTTACAATATTTTTAAAATAAGATTTGCCTTAACTTAATTTGAAATTTAGGAAATGTATCTGAATAAAAATCAATTCTGCTATAAATAGAATTACAAGTAAATAATATATTAATATCTGGTTGACCGAGCTTCACTCGGCTCGTTTGGTAGTATTAGATCAGATTAGGACAGATAAATATGCGTATAGTATGCATTTTGAAGTAGACGCGCTAATTAAAAATACACATTAAAAAAGAAATTCCATAAGCAGTATTTGTTTTAAACAGTGATAAGTGACATGTAGAGATTAAAGAACAGAAAACTGGAATTATTGTTTGACATTTATTACAATCTCATTTGTTACCCAAGTTTTCTCTCTGTCGTTCTTTTTTTTTCCTAGTTCTCTCTCTCGACTCTAGAAAAAGGTCACAACTACATTCTTACTGCCAGAAGAGTTTCGCCTCTGGTGTGGTTATCATACTGAGTTACCGTGCTCTTTTGCGTTATTCCTAATTTCGCAATCTCAACCCTGCTTCCGAAGATGCCACTTACGAAAGTGTGCGAAACGTTGAGCCCAAAAACTCAAATAACACGGTCCCATCCCGGAAAACGATCACACATTGACTCCGACCGTGAAACCTCTGAAATGAATGCTTGACAAAATAATCTCAATTCAACGCACTTTCGTGTGTCTTTTATCCGCTCACTCTTTAGTTTTCGGTAAATTTTCTCACCTCAGAAGGTGAATTTTAACGTCCTCTATACAGTGGAGTATGTTTCGGTACGTACAATTGAAGATAAAAAGGTACGTCAAACGTACTGTCAGACTGTCACCCAAACTTCTCTTATAAAACAATCTCGTGTTCGTGTAGTGTCATCTGAAGTTGCCTAGCAACAAATATAATTCACTGCCTGAAAATTGCTGAAAATGCATGAAGCTGTAATTTTCAGAAGTTAAAACTATGATCAATCGATTTTTCGACCCAAAAAACCCCTAACCTGTAAATTTCATCGAAATCGTTAGAGCCGTTTTCGAGAAACCCATTATATATATATATAAATATATACAAACTTTGCTCGTTTAATAGTATTAGATTTATACCGCTTTTTATAAGAACCTAATTTTTTTATACTGTTTTTAATTCTGTAGTACCATGTAACTTATGTGCATCTTTAATCAATTCCAAGTTTCTTCTCATTTTATATAAGTCACTAGTAAACCATTTATTAGATTTATGACTACAAGAAACAACTGTCTCAGATGGAAAGGCTAAGTCAAAGTAGTAGCACATTGTATTTAGAAACATGGTAAATTTATTTTCTATATCAGTTTCCGAATTTATGAAATCCCAGCTGGCTTTACTAAGTATAGTGAAGAAGACAAATTCCATATTGTGCAGGTTTTACAATTTTACACTTTTGTCTGTCTTCTTTACATATCTTAAGTACTATTATATTTTGTAACGACATCACTACACCAATGTGATCGGATACATCATCCTTAAACGGCATAATTTGACAACAGTTTAGTGTAATAGTTATTAGTGTAAACATATATAACACTTCTTTAATTTATTTCTGGGCAATAGAAATACCTGGGTTTTATTTTGGCTCAAATTTAGGGAACAAAATCTTTAAACATTTTGACTATTTGGAGAATGGCGATTTACTGTTTGTGTCTAGATAGTATTTTCCAGTAGAAGTAAGGTTCAAAACTCCCAAACTTGCATACTCATCAGTACAAGTAATCTTAGTAGTTCCATAATCCACATATGATGAACACTTTCTCGACTTAAATTTTTTTTCAAGCATCAAACCTTCAATCAAATACTCCCAGCTTCTATGGTGAGCACAAAAAACTAAAAACGAAATCAAAATGTTTTCTCTGTTAAACACATACCTACCTACTGAAGTCAGATTTTGTATATTCGTCAAAATAGTTTCTAAGCATCCATTTTGGTGACTGCCACCGTTTGGAAAAAAATCTATAGTACCACATACTCTCAAAAACCCGAAAATGCCACCATTAGTATGGATTACATGCACGACTTGTGCATCATTTGGGTTTAATCTCTCACTTTCTGGACGAAGATTAAAAAGAGGACCTGCAGGATCTGGGGCTATGATTTTAGGAAGCTTTTCTTTCAAAAGTTCAAAAACTTTTTTCCCCACAAAACCAGCGACTTGGCCTCCTAGAGAGTGACCAATGATTAGAACATTTTTAATGGGAACGCTTCGATCTTTGATCAGTTTTACGACGAATTCTCCAATAAAGCCACCTGTATATTTCAAAAAATGAACAAATGATATTGAAAAAAATTGTTAAGAATTAACATACCAACAGCTTTGACGGAATAACTCGAAGATATGTAGTTCAGTTTTGCATATTCTGACCAGTCAGTTTCCACGACGGAGTACTGACTTGCTCTTTCCTTGAACGTGTTTTTTAGGAGTTCATACCACAAAGTTGACCTGTTCTGAGACCAGCCATGAATTAAAACAACAACGAAGCTATTGGAGTCAAACTGCTTCGGATTAGAATTGTCAATTTCTTCGTAGTTGCTGCTGCCTTTAGGAAATAGGTAGTAATGGATCTTATCAGCTGTTACATTTGGTTTGACTAAAATACTTGTAAGATTTAATTTGTTGTAAATGTTGTAAATGTCTTGTTTGACTTCATCAGTAAGGGATGAGAAATCTATTTCGTCGTCGTCAGCTAAAAAGTAAAATTTAGTAGAAATATTAGCTCCTGATACAATCCATACATACATTCTCCTGTAATAGCCACGATAAACAATAATATGTGAAATAAGATTTGTTTCCACATATTTTTGTTAAATTTTAATTCGCAGAATAACTGAAAAACTAAGTAAAATAAAGAGGAAATGAATCAAAAATTTTAAGACTGACAATACGCAAGGAAAGTTTCGTCCAACACCTTAATCTTCACTTTTGTCGTATCGGTAATGTTGAGTAAAATGACAACCAAGCTTTAAATACTTACAGTTATCGAGCTACATGTTTTATTCAAATATAGGAAGACATAAATCGTTAAAAAAATTGAAAAAAGTATTAAAATTTCCAACATTATGTCAAGTTTAAAAAAAGCATACATTATAAGTTTTACGAGAAGCAGTAGCGGCTCGTAGGTTAAAGTGAAAGGAAACCACACAATTAAAACGCTTCATAAAAATTACATTTAGTTACAACTTTTCCTAAAAATCTGCAGTACTTAAAGAATTTTAAAAGCCGTTGTTATGTCTGTGTGTCATTTTTCTCACGATAATGTCGCTGAATCATGTAAAAAAAATCACAGGACGCACTAAACCACACATTAATTTAGTCTATCGAAATTGTTTATTATTAAACCTACACCGTTAAGATCAAATCACTTATTAAAAAGGTTACGTAATATTTTTGGTTGATATAACTCTGTAATCACCAGTGTGTTAAATTTTGAAATATAGATTGAATTAGTTTTTTTTTAATTAAGAATGCAGCGTTTGTCTGGTTTTAACGTCTGTTCTACTAGTTTTTTTCGATTTCCTTATATTCTTTTTCTAATTTAATAATTATAATTGAAAGCATAGTAATCCTATTTATATATAATATGTAACAAAAATTGCAACATAAAGAAAAATTTAAAACAAATCTGAAAATCATGTTTCAGATCAAAAACTTGTTCAACTAATAACCCAAAAATCACTTTTGCTACATTTAAATCAAACACACGGAAAAAATAAATGAAATACATTTTTTTTCACTACAGTAGCATAACCAGCTCACTGATCGTGTTTACAGAAGCACACATTTTAAAAATGATTTTTTCCGTGTCCCTATGTTGTAAATCACGAGCCATCCTAATGCGACGTTATTTTACAACATTGCTTCCGTGGTACATTCTTATCATACATTTTTACGATCTAAATTTCAATAGTCAATTACAATACCAAATTTTTCTAATTTAGCACATCACTTTTTTAAACATATGGTTACATTAACGTTTTCACTATTTTGAAAATTTATGACTAGAAATAACCCATTTGACGTTAATTTTTCATTTTCTTGATAGAAAAAAATCGAAGAATGAATATGAAGATAAATCTAAAGAAAACAAAAATATTTTTTGCATTTATAACCTTTTTTGATGAATTTTGCGTGGGGGTAGACGAATTTCCGCAGGCGTAGTTTTTACTTTCCGTTGCCATGGTACTCTGTAGCCTGTGTCAACGGTGTGACGTGTTCACAACGCTGTCAACTTTGTTGTTTATACAACGATTAATGTTATAATTTTAAAAATTATAATTATCGTTGCAGCTAAAAGAGGACTCTTCCAATAACTTTTTTATTTATTAGCCAAAATTAATGATATTAAATTTGCAAATGGTTATTAATAGACCTTGTGCATACGTAAATTTACTACTTTAAAAAAAGTAAAGTTATTCGAAGCATCCTCGTTTAGCTGACTCATCCTACACACAACACGTTCGTGAAGCCTGCTTCCCACATTCCCAAACTAAAACACTATTATGAAAGCATATATTTTTGTCTCCGGAAAAAAAAAATATGGAAATATACAGACAGCGTATTTAAAATAAAAAAAAAGATCTACGTTGAATTTGCCACTTCTAATTATCTATCTGAACTGTGGCAGATTTTTAAGAAAGGATATTTTCATTGAAAGTTACTAAATTAGTAGTAATTTATATTAGGTAATTATTTGTACTGCAGGGGAAACACATATGCAATGCCTAATAGTCCACTGTTTATAGTAGATTTAGAAGTCAAATTTTACGTTTCAAACTACAACTAAACATATATCTACATAATGTACATATCTAAAGCCTTGAAGCGTTGTACTGCGAGGAAATCGTTTTCGAACGAAAAATGTTTATAACCAGTTTAACTTCTAGTCAATAGTTAAATTTTGTATAAATACACTTCGCTGTTTAGGTTTCCATTACCTAATTAATCGAACAACTTAAATAAAGCCGTAAGAGCTTTTAAACTGTGATAAACGTATACTCGTACACAATATTTTTTTAAAGAAATAAAACTGCACAAATTTGTAATCCAAACTAGTTATGACAGACATGCTTATTTTTAATTTCAATTTAAAACTAAAAACTTCAGATTAAAATGCGAATTGATTACAACAATTTTCCTTTGTTTACCGCTTTCAGTTTGACAGTAAAGGCTTTCTACTTTTTTTTCAATGAGAGATCCAATTTTTTTACATTTGTTGATGCAGAATAAAAACTACACAGAGAAATTATCAACACGTTTATTTCTAGTAATATAAAAAAATGATTGAAATTTATTTCAACAGAACTTTCCACGCCCCTGAAGTCCGACTAATCCCGTTTCTTTGAGAAATTATAAAATTTGATTTTAGAATATGAATATATATGACATTGTAAAAAAAATCTGGATATCCCATTAACAAAAATGTAAGAAGCCTTTTCTACCAAAAATTTGTTAACTTCATTCCTAAATTTCTGTAAAATAACGCGTACTTGCAAAATTTCATAATAATAATCTAAAGCATGGTGAAAGCGTCATGGTTTATAAATTCACCGATCAGGTTAGGAGTCCAATCGTCAACTGGTTCTAACACAATTCTTCTTAATTTTTCACAAAAGATCGCTAATAGTTCATTAACGGCAGTTAAATTAACAAAATTCATAATATCATGAACTGACGAGGGGATTAAAGATTTCTCTCCTTAAACAGTTACCATCGTTATCATCATTACATCACCGAGGTATTTCCTCGCGACGTTAAAGATTACATCACCGAGGCATTTCTTCGCAACGTTAAAGACTGATTAGATCACCGAGGCATTTCCTCGCAATGCTAAAAATTACATCACCGAGACGTTTATTTTTTGCAACGTTGACTGGATACTTTTGTGTTTATTTATTATGTGTTTTGTTTCGGGTAAGCAGTTCAGGATATTATAAACTTTGAAAGGTAATTGTTTTAAGTAACCAATCACTTGGATCAAGACATAATCGAACATAATATAAATTCTATGTTTGATTCGTTGATAAAGCGTGGGAAATATTAATCTCATGTAAATTTGTTAGCTTTGCAATTTTTCACCCCATACAATATTTCTCTATCTCATCTATAATTTTAATTGATCGTAAATTTCCATGCTCTGCAGTTTTAACCTCACGTAATATTTTTATTTGCACAAGTTTATTTCACATCAGATCTTTTATTTTCATAAATCTTTGCTAGTTTTTATTTAAATATTTTGTTGATGAATGTTTCCTTCATATAAATTATCTGATGTCCAATTTTAATCTCACATAAGAATTATTTTTTGTTTAAAACTTCACAAGATTGTATGGAGAATTTTATTGTTGTTTATTGCTTTTTGAAACTTTAACACTTGTTCAGTTGTGGTTAATATCAAAGTCATAGAAATTAAACATTTAAAATGGAATTGAAGTAAATAACACCGAAATACGTAGTGGAAGCGGAGTACGCGGTTCTTTGTCGAGCTGGCAGGATTTATCGCGCCATCTGCACTGTCCAACTGCGAGTTTGCGACCGTAACAGCCTGTCGTACGGCACGTCCGTAATAGAGAAATGCTGTGCGGTAGGCTTGCGATAGATAGAATCACCGTCGTGAGGGAGAGCAGTCACGACCGGGAGCCCCAAACTCCGCTCGTGCTACAACGTCCCCTCTGGATATTTTTGTTGTGCTCTAGAGCGAAATTGACATAGTCGATCGCCACACTCTGATGCCGCTGCCGCTGCATAGTTTTTTTTATTAAAATTGTGTGCTCTTGTTGACTGCCATTATTTAAACTTGCCGCCATACGTCTGTAATAACTTCTTTATTTGCATCCAGTTACTGTACTTCAGATTTTGCTTTGTTTTTATTAAATTTGTGGTATTCAAGTATTTGCATTGATTCAGAACGTTTAATTTGATTTCATTTAAAATTTATTCAAAGTTTTTTTTGAAGCTGAGCACTAAGATCTTCAACCTGCGCAACTTAGTCGCATCTTTTTTTTGTCAGTGGAGTAATAAATAAATGGTTTATTGTATTCAACGGGGCCAACCTCACAACTGAATACAAAAATACAGATACAAAAATACAAAATCTAAATACTATTCTGTTATAATAAAACTTAAATAAATTAATGGATCTTAATTCTAAACTTAACTTAATAATAACTATAATCTCACCACCTGAAATTTGGTCCTCACGAAATGTCATCTTAGACGGAAGTTCTAAACTCTTCTTTTTTAAATGAACAAATCTCCAAAATTGTCTCGGATCCGATGAAATATTTGCCTCAGCAGAAGATACAAATTGTCTGTACGAAGATTCAATTTCTTGCTTCAAAACCCTCCTTAGGCCTACAAACTCATCTCGAAAAGTTTGCTTACCTGACTTCTTGGTTTTCTTCCAAACATGTTAATGTCTTTTAATTAACCTAATAATCTTAGGAGAAACTCACGCAAGATACAACGACTGAGTGGGAGTATATTTTGGAACAAAACATGTAATGGCAGAGTATAGACAATCACAAAAGGTTTCACACGCTGAATCAATATCATGTTGCTGAAACAAAGAATTCTAGTTAATATGTAGAAATGCATATATAATTCAGGAAAATTTGCCTTACGAAAATGAAAACGCTATTAAAATAAATAATTTGGTGTTCTCCATAAATTTTGTGTTTTATTTAGCGGTACTTTTCCAACCTTGGGGTCCACCATTTGCATCTGAACGAGTCCCGCCATTTTTCAAAAACACAACGTAGGGTTCCATTTTGTCAGACGATCACAGCCAAGGCCAAATTCTGAATTTTTAACTTTTCGCGAGCTTTCAATTTTTCATTCACATGTCAATTTAAG